TGCTTTCGCTACGGCAGTGCTTGAGTGCGATAAGGTCTAATCAAACGAAACACTGCGAGTAATATGGGCGAGCCTTTACATACTCGCAGACTCCCAATCAGCCCATCCCAGGTTAGTACCTTACTGAGCCACCATCGATCCCAAAATTTCATGAAATACGGTGAATTTCTTGCAACAGGTGAAATTAGATATGGACCCTTTAAGCCTGTTTTGCATACCAGTTTTCTTGGCACTTGCTCCTTACAGTGCAATGATGATATTATATTAAAATCATAGTAGACCCCTATTGACAGTTGAAACAGTACATGTCGATTTTAAGGTATTTTTTGAAAGATGACTGTGGAGCTAATTTCTAAACAAACATTTCCCCGTTCAAAACTGACAAACAGCCTACCATTAACATTGTTACAAGAATATCGATGAAACGCAGAGTTGAAATGACTTCGCCAAGGTTGTGCTCTCACGCGCATGTCGTTATTATTATTATACATTTCTGAATTGTTCATTGAACAATTCGTCCATTTATTTATTCTTTCAATCAATCTTTCCGCCTTCAGTTACTAATTAGATGTTTATCTACTATTTAATTACATATCATAGGTGACAGCTAATGTTCTGGTGCAGGTAGGGGTGTCTTTCCGTTTTTGTAAATACTTTAATTTCTAACTTATTGTTTGTAGGCCTTGTAATGCCTGTAATATCTTAATCCGACCCTTTAATTATATTGAATTCCCATTTTATATGATATTGTGTTGATTGTATTGTATAGGGTATCCTAGGGTTTATACTAATTTCTTGGCCATCTAGTGTGGTACGTGCTGTTCAACCTATAATTAATGTAAAGTTTTCCCGTATTAAACAGTTTTAAAGGTAATTCCGGGTTGCATTTATTACTAAGGATTCTCACTTATACAGTTGTATCTTTAAATCCTCCTCCGCATCTCCCCCCCCCCCCACCGTCCACACTGTACCTCGGTTTTTCTCCCCACCTGAATATCGTTGCCCTCCGACAAGGGGAAGCCAAACTAGAAATTCCTGAGGAACTTTCTCGGCCAACAGCCGGAAGGTGAGATGCGTGCTAGTTTTTTTTCTTTGTTAAGCAGACGAGTGTCTGGCAAGTTGAAACTAAGGTAAATGGGGCACCTTGGTTAAGCTAACTTTTATCAACTGAATATCAATTTAAGGTAAATTACCTCACCTAAGGTGTAAAATAATTGAATAGAGCCCCGAACAAAAATGATATGCTTACACTGAAGTTCCCCAATAGTTCACATAAGCCAGCAAAGAAACCAATTTCATTTTACAATAAATTACATTAAAGTGAAAGTAGATAAAAATATATGTTGATTTATAATGACACAACTAAATAATAGTTGAGTGTACAAGTTTCTTCCACAAATGGGTTATATTAATTTCTCTGGCAAAACATTGGAATCCCGTTATCCCTTTCACAAACCATTATATCATAAAATCATTCTTTAGTTCCTAGGACATTGGATGCAAACAATTCTCATGATGAATAAAACACTGATGTAATATATATATATATATATATATATATATATAATGTTTTATATGATTTGATGTTTAAATTGTATCTGAATATTATTCAATATTAAATGTACTCTTTAGTTCACCAGTTTCTTTTAATTCCTAAAATATAAAAAAACAAAAACAATCAAATATGATTCAAACTCAAAAAGGGGATTTCCTACTTTCATTTCATGTAACTAAAAATGGACTAGATATTTGTTGTATTTATAGCTGGATGGTTTTTGTTTATATTTTCAAGTAGTAAATTTGTTTAACAAATATTTCAAAATAACTAAAATTGATAAAAACATCTAGTAAAATAATAAAGTTAAAAATATTAGAAAGTAGTTGACTATTTATATTTTTCATTATAGGGTTTAATTTTAGGGTGCATTCTAAAATTCCTCACGGCTTAATCAGCGTAAATATGTTCTCGGGGTGATTATTTAACATTTAATTAAGAAAAAAAAAAATCAAAATATCAACGCTAGATAATCCCCCGACTTGGATTCAATCAGATAAGGGTATTTCTTATATGGAAAGCTTATTATAATTTGTCAGGTGGTATAACACTAAATTAAGAGAACTCAGTTGGAATCTATATACTTTCTATAGTAAGCCATGATATTAATAAAAGACAGATCTCCAAATTATGATGAAATCTGTAGTGTCAGAATATTTTTTTCTACATTATTCTGTAGTATATATATAACAGTATTTGACTGGTTTTAGTATAGAGGGTTGGCTGAAAGGTTCTAAGTCTGAAAAGAATAGATCAATTGGGTTAAAACAAACTTTTGTTACCAATAAGTATAATCATTGAATAAATCACAGACATAAGAGCTGCAACTGTAGTGTTATTATTGAGACCATCTTGTGAACCTACCCATTGAAACGCGGCAGAGAGGGTCTTGACGATGACCAGCGTCATGGAAAGCCATCAACAGTAACCATTCAAGAAAACATTAGCCGGGCGCATGACATAGTGATGGCTGATCCACGATTGACCACTCAAAATATTGCCAGTGGTAGGCATCTCTCATGAGAGACATGAGCACGTTATCACCAACAAGTTAGGAATCACAAAAGTTTCTGAAAGATGGATGCCAAAGCTCTTAAATGTGGATCAGAAACGTGTCAGATTCCTGAAGTCCCGTGACAATCTGCGCCGTTTTGAAGCAGATCCTGATAATTTTTTGGCTCGATTTGGCACCGTCAGACTTCCATATGTTTCCAAAAATGAAAAAGGAACTAGCCAGTCGACATTTTGCTACAAATGATGACGCCATGTCAACTGTGAACGACTTTTCTTTAGGGTGGCTGAAGAAAATTTCTTCCTGACCGGCATCCAGGCCTTTTAACATCGTTGGCAAAAGTGTGTACACCTCGAAGTGGACTATGTAGAAAAAGAACTGGAAACCATCTACTTTATACAGGTCTTTCACGGATAGGCTTAGAACTTTTCAGCGAGCCCTCGTACATCTAAATTCTAAAGAAAACTATAGAATGCTCTTCTGTTATACGTTTCTCCACAAAATCTACAGAACGAAATATTTTTTTCTGTAGTTTTCTATAGAATACCAAGAAAAACTGTAGGTTTACACAACTGACTCTGTAGTATCTATAGAATACCAAGGCAGGTTGTAGGTTTACACAACTGATGTGAGGATACAAGTAAGTTTTATAGAAAACTATAATTTTTACCACAAATTTTATAGAAGCACTAATAAATGTATAGGTTCATTTTTTTTTTCAATAGTTTTATACAGCATTCTATAGAATTCTATAGGAAATTACACCTGGAAAACAAAATCAACTATCGATCCTTTAGTAAATTATCTCTGATCTGTAATATTGTGAATATTCTATAAGATACCTACACTTTTTGTGTATGACTTTTTCATAGGGATGGCATGTTGCCAGGATACATGGGAGCAAAACGAAAAGGGCCCATTGCTGATGCCAGACGTCTCGCCACATATTGGACACATGACACCATAAAGTTCTCTCCCTTTCCCCTTTATGCATGGCGTTTTTTGAGCGATCTTTTAAGTCAGGCGAAGAAGTTGAACCAAATTGGGCTTTGAAGCGCGCGAAGGTATGCGAAGAAAATTCCTCGCTTCGTGACATGATAGATTTACCCACAGTGTGTGTTAGCTCCAGGGCACTTGCACGCCTCAATGACTTTTGCATGACGTGCGAAATATGGTATGATGTGGGGTCTACGAGCTTGATCGATGTAGCATACTGCTGTGATGCCACCTCCTCTCCCTGGACCAAGATTTTGGAACACCACAGGACCCACTCCCTGGTTCAGGCCGATTCCACCACAAACAATTATGCTTGGACCTCCCCATAAGTCTTGTTCCATGACACATTGGTCAGAATAACGCTACCTGTGTCCCCAGTTCTGGTGTTGTTGGGCAAACTGTGGACGTTCACGTCGATGGCGAGGGGTGAGGATCGGTCCACGGTAAGGTCTAGGACAATGGATGTTCTCTCTGGTGAGATGTCGGGGCACTGTATCAGTACTGATGGGTCTTCTTTGTGCTCCCATTGTCTGACATGCTGTCTTGTCATCTTGTGGTAACCCTTGGTCTACCAGTTCGGGGGCGATCATCTGTGGTGTTGGTGGCCCGAAAGCATTGCTGAAGCCAGTAGATGGTCCGAACATTGACCTAGAAGTGATTGGCAAAGGCTTGGGCAGTGTGGCCAGCGTGGAGTCTTCCAAGCGCCTGATTCCTCTGAGCTGTCGTGAGTCGTGGCATGCTGCTGACGTTGGAGATGAGTACAATAAAAACATTTGGCAAGTTTTATGCAATGCATCCATTCAGAGCAACATACCAACCTGACATTTCTTTTGCTGCTTAGTATATGAGGACATAGTCACATCTTTGCTGATTTATATATATTTACCACAACAATATATCTAAGATATAGGTTTATGTAAATGATGTAATTATCACTTTCAGAATTTGTCACAGATTCACAGTACTTTCTTGCAAAATTCTTAATGAATAAAATGAATTCCCATGCGTAGCACTCAATTTTACTCATGGTATGAGTATTTTCTGACCATCAGAATTCTGCAAAATCTCCCCCCAAAGTCCAGGAAATGGCATTTCAGGGACTCTAGATTCAAAAATTTCTCCAGGGAAGCATGCTCCTGACCCTGCTAGAAAGCTTGCACCTGCGGTACTCGGATTGTGGCTGCCTCACTCGTATAAGGGGCATGTGGATCAGTTGGTCTGTACGCCCCTGACTATTGAAACTAATTAATTTCAGGTCGATTGGACGCTAGAATATTACCAACAATTTTCAGAAATATTTGAAATTTCAATATATACAATGTTAACATTACAAATAATTTCTAGAGTGCTCACAAAAAACATGTACGACAAACCCACAGCCAGCGATGACAATTCAATATATACAACAAAACGTCTAATTCTAATAGATCAAAATACTTTTATAATAGCACATTTATTTATAAATGTTGGTTAACAATTTTCAAACAATCAACTGATACAATGTCAAATGTCATCAACTGACATAATTAATCAACAATTAAAATTCCAGTTTTATTTATAACCATTGTTCTTTTAAAAGGGGCATTATGGGAGATTAGATAAAGAGCTGGCAGTTCTCACTATAATAGTTAAAAACTAGATAATGTTAAGGGAATTTGCTGAAAAATTCAGTCAAATTGATGTACTCATACTTAAGGACATGGACATTCAATTAACCACCTTAAAGTTTAAGGAACCACTCTTAGAGGTACGATTTTCACTTAAATCTATGGTATTTCCTTATTAGATGAGCAACATTCAATTAAAACTTCTGGGAGAAAATTTCCACAATTAATATGGGACTGAACTGCAATATAACTTTCTTAAATCAGAAGAGTGTCTGGCAAGTTGAAACTTTTATCAATGGAATATCAATTTAAGGTAAATTATCTCACCTAATATACAAGGTACTTAAAAATAATTTAATTAAAGCCCTGAAAACATAGTATTATGTGCTAACACTGAAATTCTCCAATAGTTCACATAAGCCAGCAAAGAAATCAATTTCATTTTACAATAAATTACATCAAAGTGAAAGTAGATACTAATATGTTGATTTATAATGACACAACTAAATAATAGTTAAGTGTATAACTTTGTGAAGATCTCGGTCTCGTTTCAAATCAGATTTCTTCCACAAATGGGTTATATTAATTTCTCTGGCAAAACATTTGAATTGTGCATTATCCCTTTCACAAAACATTATATCATAAAATCATTGTTTAGTTCCTAGGACACTGGATGCAAAAAATTCTCATGATGAATAAAACACTGATGTAAAATATATATATAAATTAATGTTTTATATGATTTGATGTTTAAATTGTATCTGAATATTATTCAATATTAAATGTACTCTTTAGTTCACCAGTTTCTTTTAATTCCTAAAATATAAAACAAAGATTAAGGCTACACAATAAGTACAGTATCGAAATCATGTAGATCTTGGTCCCCAAAATAAAAACCGACGGATTTGAAAACATTTTCACGAGTTAATTTACAGTCACAGAATTTTTCGGACATTACGGTATTTCAAATTCTTAATTTTTTTTTTGTTTTTCTTATTAAGAGTTAAATAAATATTACATTCATAATAATTTTGTGTGTTTCTTAAAAATGAAAAAAACAAGCTATATTTTTACAAAATAAAACCCAAAAAACAAATCCCATACACTGGCATCAATTTTTTTAAAAGGATTGTCAGAGAATTTTGTGTTGTTTCTTAAGAATGAAAAAACAAGCTAGATTTTGACAAAATAAAAACCAAAAAACAAAACCCTCCCTTCTGCATCAATATTTTTAAAAGGATTGTCTGAGAACCAGAATATATTTTTTTGTGTGACATAATCAAAAACGATTCAAGCTCAAATAGGGGATTTCCTATTTTCATTTAACCCTTAACCGGTCATTGTCGACTATTAGTCACCACAACGTTATACAGTTAAGTGGTCACGGTCGACTAAAGTCGACCACAGCAAAAACCTTTTTTAAAGTCGCATTTGAGTATTTAGTTTCGTATTTAATTGATATGGCCACGCATGCGTGTCAAACAGGAACTTGTCTTGTCAAGGGCATTGAGAATAACATGTCTTTATTCAATATTTTTTGACGAAAAACGTAATTTAACGGTTTCGGGAACGTTAAAGACGCTCGAAGTGGTTGAATTACTTATGAATTATTCCGAATCGGATTATATCGATGACATCGATTCTGAAGACGATATTTCTGATGAAAAGGATTTAGAATGATTTGCAAATTATAGATCAACTTATCCCCAGCAACTTTTTTATTGGTGTCAAGAGTCTATCACTTATAATTATTCGGCAGTAGTCGATTGAAATAGGCATACAAAATATTTCACGTCAGCCTTTATTTAGCCTGACCACTTGACGTCATAACGTCAAAATGACGTCGACCGGTTAAGGGTAAATGTAACGGAAAATAACCTAGATATTTGTTAAATTTATAGCTGAATGTTTTTTGTTTATATTTTCAAGTAGTAAATATTTCAAAATCAGTTTAACTAATAAACCAGCTAGTAAAATAATAAAATGAAGAAATATTAGCAGCTAGTTGACTATTTATATTTTTCGTTATACAGTTTAATATTTTAGTAACTGTGCTTGATTTGCATTTTTCGGAAACTGTCAAATTCCTTACGGCTTAATCTGTATAGATATTATTATTTAAAGGGTCATAAGGTCAGGTTAGATAAAGAGCTGACAGTTCTCGCTATAATAGTTAAACTACCGGCTACCAAGCAGGATACGCCCCCATTTTGCAAGAGATGGATAGAGAACACGCTAAAACATAAAGTGATTTTTCGTGCAATCAAGGGCCATAATTCAGGAAGTTATGATCTGATATGCGCGAATATCGACATAAACCAAGATCTTTAGGTTATAGAGATATATTTCAAGTTTCATCAAAATCGGATTAAAATTGTGACTTCTAGAGGGTCCACAACCTTGATAGGCCTATACCATATATTTGCGTACGAGGGGTCGGCCATTTTGTCCGGCAGTTTGGTCCGATTTTCACAAAATTTGAACTCAACCATCATTAGGGTGTAACGGCGATATATTCAAATGTTTTTTTTTTAAATCAGATAAAAATTGTGACCTCTAGAGGGACCCCAAGCTAAAAACAAGATTTTTCGTACAATCAAGGGCCATAATTCAGGAAGTTATAATTCGCTATGCGTGAATATCGACAGGAACAAAGGCCTCAGAGTTATAAATATCGATTTTAAGTTTCATCAAAATCGGATCAAAATTGTGGCCTCTAGTGTCCACAACCTTGATATACCATATATTTACACTATTTGCATACAAGGGGCCTCTAGAGTGTCCACAACCTTGATATACCATATATTTACACTATTTGCATACCAGGGGCCTTTAGAGTGTCAACAACCTTGATATACCATATATTTACACTATTTGCATACAAGGGGCAGCCATTTTGTCCAGCAATTTTGGTCCGATTTTCACGAAATTCGAACTCAGCCATCATAAGGGTGTAACAGTGATATATTCAAACGTTTTTTTTTTTAAATTGGACAAAAATTGTTACCTCCAGAGTGAACACAAGCTAAAAACGTCATTTTTTGTACAATCAAAGGCCAAAATTCAGGAAGTTATGATCCGATATGCGCAAATTTTGAAAGGAACCCAGATCTTTGGGTTATAAACACGTATTTCAAGTTTCACATCAGATCGAAATTATGACCTCTATAGAGGGTCCACAACCATGATATACCATATTTTTACACTATTTGCGTACGAGGGACGGCCATTTTGTCTGGCAGTTTTGTGGACGTATAAAAATAGATAATGAAAACAACATATGCTAAAAATTGCTTCACTTTGAACCAAGATATTAGCCATTGAATTTTAGGTTAGCCTAGGTCATCATTACTGACTTGGTATGATAACAAACAAAGTCTCGATTATCCATTTTGACGTTAAATTTTCCATCACAAAAAGTATTCAAATCCGGTAAATATCGCAGAATAACAATGGCATCGAGAGTTGATTATGGTCTGGATAAGTTAATTATGTCCAATTAATAACTTAGATAAGATTTCAGACCCAAAGAAAGACCTGCAATAGGCAGATTTAGCTCTTGCATAATGCATGTTTAACATATATTTAAAAAATTAAGAAAACAAAATCAAAACATCACAGTATCACACTAGATAATCTCTCAGCTTGGATTTAATCGGATTAAAGACTGGCTTATCATTTAGACTTTATGAAACATATAGATGGCAGTGTGCTATAAGCATAGGGAGCAGCATAGATGGATGGAATTTCAGATAGCACCTTTATTTAATAAAATATCGAAAACATATGGCCACATTAAACTAGCTGAATACTTACATTAATAATGTCTAACCCACCAATAAGTTCACCTTTTACATATACTTGTGGATAAGTTGGCCAATCAGAGTAAGTTTTTAAGCCTTGTCTCACCTCATCATCGGAAAGAATATCAAAAGTACTATATTTCACCCTGAAAAAAATGCAGACCTACCATAACAGAAAAAAGGTTAAATAAAGTTAAATATAAAGTTTATATACTTTTATTTAAAAATCCATTTGGTCCAATATTATTGTAATATAGTTTAGATACTTTTATTTAAAACAAAATATGGTCCAAAATTATTCTAATCGATCAATTAGTTTAGTTGTCTCTTTCCCTCGTGGATATAGATATAGTACTAATAATTGTACTATCTTTATTGTACAAATCATTTTTCATGAAGGTTTTTTTATAGTCAGATGTTACATAATAAAATAGTATTTACATTAAAATAGTGCATAACTTTTTACTAATTGTGCCAGTAATGATCTAATGTTTTTGACAATTATATTATACGTATGTTAGGGAGCAGGGTGGCTCAGTGAGAAGGACGCTGACTAGCTAACCAGGAGGTCTCGTGTTTGCTCCCGGTGTTGACAGAGAAAGTTCTTCAGAATTTCTGACACGGTTCCCTCTTGTCATTGGTGCAGGACGTAAGGCTTAGTGTCCAGTTGTTTGGATGGTATGTAAAACCGAGGCCTGGTGTACACATCGTCTTTCACGTAAAAGAACCCTTGAGAGCTTGTATTCGATATAAAAATAGTCAATAGCCCCGCTGTCAGGGCAAAATTTCTCTCATAGTTATAGCACACTGCATGGCATATGTCAGTCGAAGCAAAAAAAAATGTATGATGTTAAGCCCCATATTTATTTCAATGTATGTTATAATTCCAGTTAATACTTTAAAGGGAAATTACTCCAGTTTGTCAGATACATGTTTGTATTGCCAAATTGTTCACAATATTGAAAAAACATGACCACAACTTTATGGATAACAATCAATAGCAATCATATTATCGTTTACTCTGTGCTTGTTAAAGAGACGAGAGGATACTTGTTGAAACGTTGCACTATTAAAGTTGCTAGTGATTGTTATCCATAAAGTTGTATTTGTGTTATTCAATGTTTTCCTATCACTAAATGCCTTATAAACAATAATGTTCACAATAGCCATAAAACGTACAGCAGTTAACTTGAATATTGTACCAAATATTTTGAGTCTAAATTTCATACTTTTCGCTCTTAACATTATATTTTTGGGAACCCACAGAACACTCATAAAACCATTTTCTATTGGCTTAGAAATATGCTATCTAGAGGAAAAGAGAAAATTCTGATTCTAAACAGGGAGTAACTTAAAAACTAGAAACCACAAAAAATTGGAATGTAAATAGGTTTCGTTCTTATGACCCAATGAAAAATTACAGAGAATTTGAATAAAAACAATACCAAATCCTGACCTTCATAGTATTCACAACAAATATTTAGAAAGACAGACCGACTGACAAGAGCCATTTTACATAAATTACTTACCCCTCAGCATTTAAAAGACCAACTAAGGTACGACTGAATCCACATCTTGGTTCTTGAGGGTTCCCTTTCATAAACACCATTGTTGGAGAAGAATTGATCAGAGACTTCAATCTATTCACACAAAATAAGAAGGATAAATTCTGAATGAATTAAACTTTTATTGGTGACCTCAGACTATTAGATTCAAACAATAAATTGTAACTGATCTTTCAGAAATCAATTTAGGGTTACCTATGACATGGGAAATTTCTATCTTCAATTATATGACTGACTTCAAAATTCTGAGATCTCTTACTACTTCACCTTTGGCAAGTATATACAGTACACATGGCTATTCAGTCACTTCAACAGCATAGAATTTGGGGATTTATGACCAATCCCACATAAAAACAGAAAATTGGTATTTTTTGGAAAATACATCTGGTGCAACTCTTTTGATGTAGATAATAAATGTAGCTTTACCTTTCATTTAAATCTGGTTGTTCAACAACTCCTAATGAACTAGCTAATTCTCCAGTTTCAACTAATTCTTTTATAATATCTAATCCTCCAACTAGTTCTCCATTACCATATAACTGTGGAAACGTGGGCCAGTTAGAATAAGTTTTTAAACCTGGAAAATATATATTGGAGTCTATGTTTAAGATTGTAAAGGCACAACAAGCCGAATTATTCATTCACATCACATATTTATTATATTAATGAAATTTTTGTTACGAGTTTAAATCAGACTGTGTGGGACACCCTATTTTATTCTGGTATGTTTGGATTTTAAGTAAGTAATCGTCTGTAATTATATTTATTATAACTTATTAATTTCACTATCAATCAATCCACCAAATGCTTCTAAATAAGTTGTCGATCATATGTGGGAGATAGTGAGAAATGGGGTTAAATGTTTTCTCAACTTTAAACAATTTGGAAATAATTTATGGCATAAATTTTTTTCAATAATTCATTTGTCTTAAGAAATAGGATGGAAACAGGAGTACATGGACAAAACCCACTTTTTAGGTAAGGCACCCTATTTTTTGTAACAATACAAACCCATGACCAGCACAAATAACTGGCCTAGATCTGCTACCCTCACTTACCTTGCCGGACCTCTTCATCTGTTAAAATGTCAAAGTAACCAAACTTTATTTTATTATCATTTAATATCTGTATTGTCTGTCGACTAAATCCTGTAAATAAATATTTGAATCTTAAATACATAATCAAATAAAATATTCCCTGTAATTAGTAAATTTCTGTATGGTAAACAATGGACCAGTTATGATGAATGGCGTCATAAAGAATTTGAACTTGTCAGACATTTTTTCTCGAAAATAAAGGGGCATAACTCTTATCCTTATTTAAGCAGGCTTTTTCAGACCACAATTAACCAGCGGCTGCCAGGCAGGATACGCCCACATTTTTGAGAGATGGATAGAGAACAAGCTAAAAAGAAAGTGATTTTTTCTTACAATCAAGGGCCATAATTCAGGAAATTACAATTTGATATGCGCAAGATCTTTGGGTTATAAACTTACATTTCAAGTTTCAACAAAATCGGATAAAAATTGTGACCTCTATAGGGTCCACAACCTTGATATACCATATTTTTACGCTGTTTGAGAACAAGGGCCGGCCATTTTGTCTGTCAGTTTTGGGCCGATTTTCCCGAAATTCAAACTCAGTCGTCCTTAGGGTGTAACGGTGATATAATAATACGGTTTTTTAACTCGGATAAAAATTATGACCTCTATAGGGTCCACAAGCTAAAAACGCAATTTTTCGTACAATCAGCTAGGGGCCATAATTCAGGAAGTTACGGTCCGATATCGAAAGGAACCGAGATCTTTGGGTTATAAGCATACATTTCAAGTTTAAACCAAATCAAATAAAAATTGTGACCTCTACAGTGTTCACAAGCTAAAAACGTGATTTTTCATACAATTAGGGGCCATAATCCATGAAGTTACAGTCTGATACATGCCAATATCGAACGGAACCAAGATCTTAGGGTGATAAACCTATATTTCAAGTTTCATTGAAATGGATAAAAATTGTGACCTGTAGACTGTTCACAAACAATTGTGGACGTGTCAACAAAATATTCCAATTCATATGTGATAAAAAATAGTTGCATCTGGTAACAAAATTACGTGTTGTCGTAATAGGACAGAATGAAAGCGTGCCGACACGTACCTGTTTCAAATTCCCCCGATACATTTTTCAGCGGAAGTCCAGCATTCGTCTTGTACTCCGTTTTGACTTTCATACAGAAGTTTAAAAAAATGACATCCCAAAATTTATTTGGCAGTAACCGTCGCTCTACCACAATGAGCGAGTGACATCTGCTAAATAATTGCATAACTCTAGCATTATTCTAATCGAAATATTCATCAACATTTCTTAGCGTGTTTATTTATTTAAAAACATAAACCCCATTCAAAATATGATCATAAATCTGAGAATATGCCATCAAAATAGAATCTTTAGATGTGTGAGATTCGGCACGTTTACATCTCTTCATTTCACATGTCTCGCAAGATTCCTACATTTTCATTTCAGTTATTCTACTCTTAATTTCACCTGTCTATAGAGATTTTTACTTTCATTTCAGTTATTGTACTTATAACCGCCACATGCGATCAGAAATGGTCTAGTATTTATCGGATAGGCATGTGTGTGTGAAATAGCTTTTTTAAACTTCGGCTTCCACCAAAGAAATGTCACAGACATGTTATCAGATACAATGTATATTGATTTGGGGTGTTATATAGTATTAGGATATGTGAAATATATCACTAATTCCTACGTGTTGTTGACCAACATCAAGGCAGAATCAAAGTAGGTGTATAGACGGTATAACACCATAAATATGTTGATCACTTAATTACCTAATCAATCCAACCTATTATCAATGATAATCGGGTTGAGTGGTATTTATATACTCAGTACACTATATTAATTTTTGAATTCTGAATATCATACACCATGCCTTGATTTCCGATAGGGCATATTTGTGGTCAGACAATTTAGGAAAATAGCGTAGGACGTGTCCGGAATATACAGGGAAATCCCATCACTGGGCGATATCAATAATGCCTATCATAACAAAACCTGGGAATATTCAGAAGTTATACACTGTCTTACCACATTTAGGCTCTGTAGGTGTTCCTTTCATAAACAACATAACCGGTGATTGGTTTATTAAATTCTTTAATCTTGTATTTAAATCCTAAAAAAAGAAAGAAAGAAATTTTTAATTTAAAACAAGCTAAAAGTGTGGATTATGTGCCCCCCATCTCCATCAACCCCAAAATAAAAAGATAACACTCATTCATCGAGCAAACAAATTGTCACATGGAAAGGATCATCCAGGCTCAAAATGGTAGAGTGATGGCAAACCAATCTTCAGGTGATGGCTAGTAAACATGCCCTCTAGAATTGACAATGATACAACAACGTTTCTCTGTGTTACCCTAAACCTATTGTTGCATCTTCCATAGAACTGTAACAGTTATACTGAGTTATATTCCCTGTCTACCTATAAGGAATAGGTAAGAATTGCAGCCTGAAGGCGAAACACAAGACACACAAAAATTGGGCATGGCTCTGTCCCAGAGGGTCGGGCATGTACCAAAAATAACAAGCCAACAGTGAGGCTGATGTCCCCCGCCGAAATCCCAAAATAAATAGATGACACATATTAATTAATAGCACATTTATTTTTCTTGAAATGTTAATCATTGAAATCAGTCAAGACATTCACCTAATGAACATCTACATCAGGTTTAAACATTCTACCTCAATTAAAAGCAGAGTTTTTATGTTCCAAAGTCTTGACCAATCAAATTGCTTATCGCTCCTTAGCCCAGGCAGAAAATTCGCACAATCGAACTTAGTCAAGGTAATGCTATAATGACTCTATATTCAGAGTTTCATTGCTCTCACTTCATTATAACCAAAGTTATCGTGCCCCTAAAGCATCAACCAATCAGATTGCTTATCTCTGCCTACCGTAAGCAGACAATGTTCATCATCGAACTCCATCAAGGGATTCACCTAATGAATGCCTACACCAAGTTTGAACTTTTTACCTCAATTAGAAGGAGAGTTATTGTGTTCAAAAGTCTCAACCAATCAAATTGCTTATTGCTCTGCTTACCCTCAGCAGAAAATGTTCATTATCGAACTTAGTCAAGGTATTGATGTAATAAAGCTGTACACCAAATTTCCTCACTCTCACTTAATTAGAACTAAAGTTATCTTGTCCCGAATCATCAACCAAATAAATTGCTTATCTCTGCTTACCCTAAGCAGAAAATGCACATCTTCGAACTCCATCAAGGCATTGACCCAATAAACACCTACACCAAGTTTGAACATTCTAGCTCAATTAGAAGGAGAGTTATAGTGTTCCCAAATCTTGGCCAATCAAATTGCTTATCGCACTGCTTACCCTGAGCAGAAAATGCTCATTATCGTACTTAGTCAAGGTATTGATGTAATGAAACTATACACCAAGTTTCATCACTCTCACTTAATTAGAACTAAAGTTATCATGTCCCAAAGCATCAACCAATCAAATTGCTTATCTCTGCTTACCCTAAGCGGAAAATGCTCATCTTCGAACTCCATCAAGGTATTGACCTAATAAACACCTACACCAAGTTTGAACATTCTAGCTCATTTAGAAAGAGAGTTATTGTGTCCCAAAAAGTGTGACGGACAGGCAGACGGATAGACAGACAGACGAACCCATTTTAATAGTCCCCTGCTTTCTTCAAAAGGCGGGGGACAATAGGTCAGCCGTAGGGTATAAGGAATGAATATGAAAAGTTTTCAAGACAATCGATTAAGAATTGCGGCCTGTAAGTGACACAAAGACACACAAAAAGAAAATGGCTGTTGCTCTGCCCTTGAGGCTTGGGCATTCACCACAAACAATTGGGATATTCTATAGGATAGAAGGGATAAGTAATAAAGTATGCAACGTTTTAAGATGATACGTTAAGAAATGTGACCTATAGATGATAAACAAATATAAGAAATGGGCGTGGCTCTGCCACTGGGGCATGCACCAAAAACAATAGGGATCATCCTTAGGGTATAAGGAATAAATATGAACATTTTTCAAGATGATCAATTAAGAATTGTGACCTCGAGGTTGGGCATGCACCACAAACAAAGGGGGTGTTCATTAGGGTACAAAGAATAAGTATGCAATGTTTCAAGATGTTAAGATATGTGGCCTGTAGACAAATACAAGAAATACAAGGAATGGGCGTGGCTCTGCCCCTGATAGTCGGGCATGCACTAGATCATTTCAGGACTAACATATAGTTTTAATTTTATTTCAATAATTCGCTTGCACGTAGGGGTCTTTAGCAGTGGGAGGAAACTGGAGGACCTGGAGAAAACCCATGAGGTTGGACAGGTGATCCTATTCCTTGCACATACAACCGGGGATTCGAAACCACGCCAGTTGACTCAATGACAGGCCTTATAATACAGCGTGCATGTGCTAACCATTCGGCCATCCAACCCCCCACATGCACCAAAAACAATAGGGATTATCCTTAGTGTGTAAGGATTAAGTATGTAAAGTTTGAAGATGATCCCTTAAGAATTGCGGCCTGTAGGCGACACACAGACACAAACACATTATAAATGTGGACATATAATAAAAATACCTGTTTTGGTGGTGCAGTGTTTATCTGACCACCTCCAGCAGCCCATTTCTTTACTTTTTTGCTCAATTCTGCTACATTTGCACCATCTAAACGATCAACTTTCTCTCCATTCTGCAAACAGTAAAATAATTATATCATAATCAAATAGTGTTAATATTTTCATACAATTTTCAGGTAGTTAATTAGATGGCATATAATTATACAACTGTTATGTTGCCAAGGACATAATTATCATGGATTAGGATAATATTTGGTGTAGTGTTATAAGATGACATATGAAGGTAGGTTGCCAGGCAACACAACATTCACCTATGTCAAATAAATTGTCCGAGCAGTTCATAAAAATTGTCACATTGTGAATTCCTATGGTAAAATATAAAGTAAATTCTTCATACCATAAAATAACGTTCTACTTTTCTGTACCAACTTGGCCAATGAAGCCAGGCTTATGCCATGCTGTGTGCTATGATAGAACTTATTGTTTTATGTTGCCCAACCCTCTTTCAGCCTGGAAAATTATGAGAACTTTCTTGGCCATCACCAGGATTGAACCCAGGCCCTCTTGGTTAGTGAGCCAGTGCTACATTCATTGAACCACCTTGGCTCCAGAGTTAATTTCTCTAACATAATGAAGGGAAATAACTCTAGTAAAACTAAGAAATTTTTGTAATTGTTATTTATAGCAACAACCTTCAGATGAGGTTCAGGTCAGGTAACACCATGTTCTATCTATACTGTACTGTGCCCTAGTTTTGAGAAAAATGGTCAAATGTCATCAAATGTCACCTCAGAACATGCTTTATCATCTGAAATTTAAAGAGAGTGAAGAGAGAGAAATGGGGTTTAACGTCCACTCGACACAAAGTAGGTCATTTCGGGACTAACATACGGTTTAATTTTATTTCATTAATTCGCTTGCGCGTAGGGGTCTTTAGCAGTGGGAGGAAACCGGAGGACCCGGAGATAAACTCACAAGGTTGAACAGGCGACCCTACTCCTTGTCACATACAACCGGGGATTCGATACCACGCCAGTTGACTCAATGACAGGCCTTATGATACAGTGCGCGCGTGCTAACCATTCGGCCATCCAACCCTGAAATTTAAAGAATTGTACTTATAATTATGCATAGTGTATAGTGTACCTGACCAGTACATAGTTTATACAATATAAAAGTATTATTCTAAAAAATATATCTACCTTTATAAAAATTACTGTTGGTACAGCTATTATTTCATACTTTTCAGATATCTCTGGGATATTCTCAGCTTCTAACTATAAAATCAAAAACGATGAAACCATTGAACAAACCTAATTAATTTGATTAAACTTGATTAAACGAATACAAGCAACTTATAAATTCAGAAGACATCCTGTAAGTGTGAATTCAAAAGGACTAGACCTCTGATTTGTGGCAAAAATAAATTGTTGATTTCAGTTTAGATACAGCTAGTGTTAAGATATAATTGGTTTGGTGTTCCACTATCAACACAGTAGGCCAAAAATGAAACTTAATTTAGTAAGCAATGGACATTGCTTACTTTTTTCGAAACAGAAATATAATCGTTTTATTAACTGAAATAACATTGAGATCAACCCGATTCAATATAACATTATTTAGAACCTTAAGTTCAAACAAAAAATTAATGTGAGCAAAAACTAAAATCGCAAAAAATTGACCTAACATCAGTCACTTAAAATAAACTATGTAGTTCCATCAGTAAATCAGCATGTCATCTTATAACACTACACCAAATATTATCCTAATCCATGATAATTATGTCCTTGGCAACATAACAGTTGTATAATTATATGCCATCTAATTAACTAGTATCTTATTTCTTTTTCCACCCTGAAAGGCTTTAAGCCACTAAATCATAATTTTAGAAAAGAGGACACTGTTAGCATTTAGGTCTATTGTCTTCATGACAAATTAATTTCTTGTTTTTACAGCAATATTATAGTAATGACAGATATAGTCAACTCATTGTCATCTGTATAGGGAAATGGTGTTCAATTTTCAGTCTTTTTCTAAAATTCATTACCTGTAAAAATCTTATATTCTTTGTGTTCTTGGACAATTCAGTCAGTACATCATTAACCTGTTGACACTGTGGTGCCCATGCTGCAGCAAAATGTACTACCGATAAATTACTGAAAAATGTCAAATTTATTTGATTACAACATTGACTAAATGAGATACACCAATTTGATCCAACAATTTAAATTTTACTATTGGGTATCTTTTTAATTATCCCAAAAGATTATTGTTGGTTCTATTTCTCGACAGACTCTGTAGAAAAACCTGTAGAATTATTGAAAAGTACATTTTGTTTCAGTTACGGTGTCCTCAAATTTAATGAAAGTATATGATGTAGGCTACGTAATTGAGCAAGCTTTCTTAACATGACTTTGTGAAGACCATTACACGAACAGATATTGTATAAAATATGTTTTACCGTTTTTGTTTGTCAGTGAATTTTATTGTTGTTCAATGATGGATAATTAATTTAATAAGCTAGAACATGCATATGGAATTTACAGACTGACAACTTTCATTTCCCAAGTATTTCTTCAGCCAAAAGTCTGGCAGAGATTGTGTTGCAGGTTTCCTTGCTTTGGAAACCTAGAAGACTGTGGAATACCATGGGGTAGGTATACTGGAAACTCATATTACTATATTTGCCAGATGAGCTTTTAAATCACTATCTGACTACTGCCATGGGCTACTGTAAGTAACAGATAATGGTATTACTATCTTTTCCAGGTGAGCTTTTAAATTACAGATTTAACAATTGTTGTCACATGATGTATCTTGGGCTCTTTCAGCTACAGGATAACAAGAGTGAGCTTTTAGGCCATGCCCATTTCATATCTAAAGTAGCTAAGTCTCCAACTCAATATCATCCAAAATCTTCGACACTGAAAACTCGATTATTTGTCAATTTAAATTAACATTGATGTTGTGACCTTACCAGGAAAAGATGGGCTTCTGATATCCAATATTTAAGACAAAATAAACAGTTTACCATTGGTACACGAATCTAGACACATTCCGCAAGTCATGTCAAAAGGTGACTGGTGACTCCATATTCTTATCTGGAGAGCATGCACAATAAATACTATCGGTGTAGACTGTAATAACCAGACACTATGGATTGCCATTCGATTGAGACTTTTGCCGTATTTTGCCAAACATAACTGATTTGAAATTAGAGCAAAAACGGAAACAATTTTAGGAAATCAGTTTATTTACATTCATATTACATTATTATATGCGTTGCGACCCATTTGTGTAAATTTCTAGATCCCAAATATTAGCGATTTAGCTCCTTTAAAGGGCGCATAGCTCTGTTCTTTGGAGCCTTAAAATAGCCGAAAGTAGGTTTAAAAGCACATTTTAATGTGATTTACATTCAATTTCGGTGAAATATGCTTAGTACATTCTACACATTTTTTGTTATTATTATTTTGTCATTTGTGGATCTGCCATTTTTAATTACTTCCGCATTGTTCTCTTGGATATGTTTTTCTTTATTCATGTGTACTGATTTTAAATAGTTCATTGTGCCTTAAAGGAGCTAAATCGCTATTCTTTGGCAACTAGAAATGGACACAAATGGGTCACTCGACACAAACTAGGTCATTTCGGGACTAACACATGGTTCAATTTTTATTTCAATAATACACTTCCGCGTAGGGGTCTTTAGCAGTGGGAGGAAACCGGAGGACCCGGAGAAAACCCACGAGGTTGGACAGGCTACAAGCTACTCCTTTTCAAATACAACCAGGGAATCGAAAACCACACCAGTTGACTCAATGACAGCGCGCACTTGCAAACAATTCGGCCATCCAACCCCCTGGGTTGAAACGCATATAATAATGCAATATGAATGTATATGAACTTATTTACGTTCAGTTGTGTCTGTTTTTACTGTAATGTCTAATCAGTTATGTTCGGTGATATACACGAAGCTTTCAAATTGAATAGCAGTCTTTGGCATCTGGTTATTCCAGTCTATACCGGTAGTATTCTCCTGGGCTAAATCTATTTGTTAAGGCCAGCTCAATTTTTGTCAAGGTCGCTGAGATGTAAATAAGATTAGGGTACGTGATTGTTGCCGAGATTGTAGGCTAGGTCCAGGGTTAGGGTTGGGATTAGCGCTACCCCTGTTTACATCGCGTGACCTTTGACCAAAGTTGAAGTTGGCCGTATCAAATAGTTCTAACCTATTCTCCCGTGGAATATGTTTAGCCTCGTTTATCGAGTCGCTCCATTACCAATGGTGCTCAAAAGCATTCTGGCATGCGATTCGTGTGCCAATTTTAAAATTTTCATTATCTTAAATATTGGATATCAGAAGCCTAGAAATGGTTCCACACTGGTGTCTTCCATCTTACTCCAGCCACAGTAGTGGATCGTTCAGCCAGAAATAGCATGCGCACTCCGTCCCACGTGATCATACGTCACTTTCCATTTCCAAATATAGCATTTATAGTAAAAAAAATTGTAGTAACACAGACTTATACGTTATAAGGGAAATGATGGGCGGGGTTAACACGTGCGATATTTGGCGAGATTTCACCTGGGTGGTGTCATGGCGGTTTGTACTTTATAAGAAATGTCGCTTTGAAAATATAGAACACATTACCACAAAGAAAAACTGTTCGGTAACTATTTTAGTGGTCCAGTGATCACTAGCTATTTGTGATAGAATTACTTAAATCAATACAAACTGTAATGATATGTAGGCCTATTGATAATTGTGCATTTGAACCTATTTGTACTTGCATAATCAGAAGCTCATCTTTTCACAGTAAGATAACAACATCAATGTCGATTTAAATTGACCAATAAGTCGTGTTTGCAATGTCAAAGACTGTGGTCGTGGATGATACCGAGTTAAAAGACTTGCCTCCTTTAAAATTTATATGGATATTAGGAACCGATTTTTTCAAAGGTAAGATCAAGATGTAACAACATTAATATTGATTGAACTGGACAAATATTGAATTTTAATTCGTGTTTTTAATTTCTAATATTATGGATAATATTGAGTTAGATGTTTAGCTAGCTCCTTTATTTAATAAATTACTGTGAGTGTGATGTGGATGCATCCAATCCTAGATAACAAACCTTAATCTCTCAACCCTCCATGTTTCAAGATAAGACATGAGGCCATTCCCTATAACGTTGCACCAGCGGGAGCGATTCACACCCGGCATTTTTAAACAAAATTGACAATAGTTTTAATCAAAACAACGATTGATTATTGTTATTTATAATTTTTCTACAACACCCAACTACAATTAAGCATATAATCCTACCTGAAACGGGTACAAATCGTCGTTTTTAAAATCGAGGTGTTAAGCCGTTACTAAGACTGCCATCTTTTTAAACGATACGCTGTCATCATGAAGGCAGGGCTAAATATAAGGCTTTTATAACAGCCAATCAAAAGGACAATCGAAAGCACAGTAACTATGAATGGATTTCGATGGCGGTGAAATGTCAGACAAAAACAACGCTTCATTAATTTAAACGCGAATATTTGGAGTTAGGCGACAGTTGTGCCACTACGTCATTATTGGCCTCTGCCAGTTTAATTAATCATAATATCATAAACTTATCTATTTTAAAGATGTTACATGCATTAATAAAGAAATTGAGTTTGCCACTTGGAACTAAAGGCATCCAATCGTAGCTAAAAACAGACACATCAGTATATCTCAACGTTTTTAGCTTATCCAATCCATGCCCTGATCAGGTAAAAGTAAATGGTTGTCTGTGGCTGTTTCTGAAGTGAGACAGAAGCCTTGCAGCAGTATTATCATTTGATTGTAAGTTCAAGATTGTACTGTACGAATATTGAAATTGCCTTTCATAATAGAGGTAAAATAAACAATCAAACCTTTTACTCTCACTGATTATTTTATTGAAATCATTTTGGTTTTCAACGAGCTCCAAAACCTTCGCCATTTTGACTTCAGAGTTACGTCCCTTTTCTTCTCAGATGGCCACAGATCACTAATTATTTCCCCATTTACTTTAATGTTAATTCTCGTCTCTTAGACCGGCTCTAACTTTTTCCCAAAGTTTCTATTGGTAGAACGCTTTCTGCCACAGATGGAGCAACATGTGGCAAACTCTTGCCAAAAGCATGTATGAGGTTCATCATAAAAAAACTTGAGATACACAAGTTGGAAGTAGAGACAAATAAACATGCAATTTCCGGCCCTACATTTCAACGTAACCAACCTCACAACTCTTGTATCCTTCCGCCTCAAAATCATGAATATTCACCAAAACCTGGCAGAAAATGTATTTTCAAACCCTCTTTTTCGATTCTACACCAAAAAGTCAACAAAAAAAATCGCCATGCAAAAGGGGGAAAAGTGGAAAGGGAGAGAGAGACTAAAAATAACTTTGGCCCTTGTTTCGTGAGCTGTGTCCAGATCCAGAGAGAACGTTTTTATGCAATCTGTTTTACAGAGAATTTCGAGTCTTCTCTGATATCTCTGTAAAAGATGACTGCCTTTAACACGTGCAGTCACAGGCGTCAATCATTGGCTGAATGGCGCGTGCATTGTTTACATAAGACGTTACTGCTTCGGGCAGAATGCTGTCTTTAAGTCATCAAACGTCTTTATTTATTTTTCTAATACATCAAAAAAATGTTTTAGAATTCAATTTGTCGGTGAAAAAAAGTTAATATTTGAGACTCATTAAGTCGCATTGATGTCATCCTTATCAGTGATTGTAGCGGCCTAGCGAATATTCACTGCTGATCAGTGTGGTTTTTATGGTGTCAGGCCAGTGTTGACTATATACGATTCATGCTTTAATACTTCAGGGTTTTTGTGGGGGGGGGGGGGATTTAAAATTTAATTTCATAGCATTTCACGGCCTATGATATTTTTCTAGTATTTCGATGTGGTACGATAGAATTAGAACAGGATACAATTATTCTTTGCCCATGCAATTACAGAAAAAAAACGGGTGGAAATAGCTAAAACCGAATGCTTGACAACTCTGAGTAAAGACTACTCGGAACAGGACCAGTCGGGCCAGCTGATAGACCATTTGGACGAAGACAGAAGTCGAAGACAGAAGTCGAAGACCACTGTCTTGGTCCGAGTGGTCTATCAGCTGGTCCGAGTGGTCTTCTGTCTTAATTCGGTTGGTCCGAGTAAAAATCCTTAGAATAATGTATTTATATTTCTTTATTCCAAGGAGAGCATAATAGGCTATACGTTAGTATAAGTCTATAAGCCTAAATGTTCCATAGAATGGAATACATATCCATAAAAAATAAAATAAAAAAAAAACAGATTGCATCTTTAAAAAATTGAATCATGCAAAGCACTTAAATTTAACCTTTCAAAAATTTTTTTCTATAAAACCACCCTATCATGTGACTGAAATCAAAGCATGAAAAGCGTAATTCATAATATCCAATGGCAAATTGCACAGTTGTCACCCTATTTAATCATACCCGGCCCATAGCTAGCGGGGGTGGCAAGGGGGGCAGCCCAACCAATGGCACTCAGCTTTATGGAGCGCCCATACTGATATGGGCACGTTGGCACACTGATCAGCAGTGAATATTCGCTAGGCCACTACAATCACTGATAAGGAAAATGAAATGAAATGAAATGGGGTTTAACGTCCTACTGTTCTGCTCCTAAACTGGGCTAATGAAGACGGGCATACGCCATACAGTGTTCTATGAGGGAAATTTTGCCCGGGCAGCGGCGCTACGGCCTACTCTTATATCGAATTCCAACTACCAAGGGATCTTTTACGTGCACGCTAATATGTACACGGGACCTCGGTTTTTCATCCCATCCGAACGACTAGACAGCTGTCCTTGTCAGGCCCTCCGTCCTGCATCACTGACAAGAGGAATCGAACACCCAACCTCCAGATTAGCGATCCAGCGTCTTACCCACTTAGCAACGTGATCCCCCCACTGATAAGGATGACATCAATGCGACTTAATGAGTCTCAAATATTAACTTTTTCCACCGACAAATTAAATTCTAAAACATTTTTTTGATGTATTAGAAAAATAAATAAAGACGTTTGAGGTATTTGTAGGTAAAACTTATTTCCTATTTAGTGTAAATGGGTATTAAAATGACTAAAAGGCAGCATTCTGTCCGAAGCAGTAACGTCTTATGTAAACAATGCACGCGCCATTCAGCCAATGATTGACGCCGCTTGCTGTGACGGCACGTGTTAAAGGCAGTCATTTTTTACAGAGATATTAAAAGACTCGTAATTCTCTGTGAAACAGATTGGCACGTTGGTCGTTGGCTTCATATTGCGTCCAATGGAAAGGGTGGGGTTCGACTGCCCCCTTGCCCGTCCCGCTAGCTACGGGCCTGCATACTATTAACTGATAATTCAGAGGACAATAAAGATTTTGGGATATTATTTATTCCCAATTAAAATTAACATATATCTTTTGTTGGCTTTAGGTGCACATATATATCATTATAACAAATAATATATACAGACAAATATATGTAATTAATAAAATATGTTTACGTGATTGGAAGATGCTATATAATTATAGTCTTTATATAGTGGTATTTATGCATTAGAAATTGCTTTAAATAATTGATTTATAACAAAAAAAAAAGATTTAATTTTAAACATGGTTATTTTTATTTTTTTAAAAAAAAAACTGATGTTGTCAGCGATTGAATTTGATCATTGTAAGGAACATAAGAAGACCTTAGAACTAATGCGGTTTTATACAGGAAAAATGGCCCACTGTGATTGTGGTATAACAAGTAAACTGCAAAAGTTGTTGACTGACCTGGATGGGAGAGAAAGAGGGAGAGAGAGAGAGAGGGGGGGGGGTAACATCCACTCAAAACAAACTAGGTTATTTCAGAACTAATATATGGCTCAATTTTATTTCAATAATTCGCTTGGGGGACCGGAGAAAACCCACCAGGCTGCACAGGCGACCCTCCTCCTTGTCAGGTACAAAAGCCTGAAATCAAGATCACACCATGTGATCTATCACGTATGTGTTTAACTAATTGGCCACCCCCAACCCCTAACTAGGATGAAACTTGTCGGGTTTTATTACTACAACAAAAAGAATGTTCCCTATTTTATATTTAAAGAGTTTTGATGGTTATTATTTTTATTCAGTTATTATCTGAATTTATATATTGGGGAACAGGTTATGTCTATCCCTTTATGATTATTAATGGAGTTATTGCCCTTATCAATGAAATTTTGGAGACGAACAAACAATCTGCACTTGAAGGGTTTAAAACAAAATGAAATGAAATGGGGTTTAACGTCTTACTGTTCTGCTGTGAACTGGGCTATAAATGAAGACGTGTATACACCATACAGTTTGCTATGAGGGAAATTTTGCCCGGACAGCGGCACTACTGCCTACTCTTATATCGAGGGATCTTTAACGTACACGCCAATGTGTACACGGGACCTTGGTTTTTTGTCCCATCCGAACGACTAGACAGCTGTCTTTGCCAGGTCCTCCGTCCAGCAGGTTTAAAACAAGACTGATTACTATTATAATCAGTAAAAGGTATATCAACTGCCATTTTTTATTACTTACTTGGTCGGACATCAGTTCTCTTCGACCTCTTAAGTCCCTGACTAACACTAAAAAAATAGAGGGAAATGGAGTTCCTGACTAACACTAACAAAAGAGAGGGAAATGAAGGGACTTGGTGTTCAAATAGAACTTCCTACCCAACAAATTGGGTAAAACACATGGCGGTTAATATACATGTAGTACAAAACAAGCTCAAAAAGCGATTTTTGTACAATCAGGAATCAGGGGACATAATCCAATAAGTAATGGTCAGATATGCGCGAATATCAAAAGGAATCGAAATCACTGGGATATAGTCATAAATTTTAAGTTTCATCAAAATCAGATAACCAGCAGTTGCCAGGCAAGATACGTCCACAAAAGCGATTTTTCGTACAATCAGGGGCCATAATCCAGACAGTTATAGCCTGAAATGTGCAAATATAGAAAGGGACTGAGATGTTTCAGATATAAAGATATATTTTAAGTTTCATCAAAATCGGATAAAAATTGTGACTTCTAGAGGGTTCACAACCTTTGTATTACATACTTTTACACAATTTGTGTACAAAGAGCGGCCATTTTGTCGGACAGTTTCATTTCCATTTACCTGAAATTCGAATTCAACCTTCATTATGGTGGAATGGTGATATATTTAAACGGTTTTAAATATCCAATAAAAAATTGTGATCTCTAGAGAATCTACATGCTTAAAAAACACGATTTTTTTTGTACAATCAGGGCCTATAACCCAGGAATTTACAGTCTGATATGCGCAAATAGCGATAAGAACCGAGATCTTTGGGATATAAACATATATTTTAAGTTTCATCAAAATCTGATAACAATTGTGACTTGTAGAAGGTTCACAACCTTGGTATGACATACTATTTGCGTACAAGGAGCCGCCATTTTGTCAGGCAGTTTTGGTCCGATTTTCACGAAATTGGAACTCAACCGTCATTAGCAGAGGCGGATCCAAGGGGAGGGGTGACGCGAGGGGCCCCCTAATTTACGACAGTGCCCTTTTTTACTGCTGAAAGTGCCTTTTCTCAGACCCAAATATGTCCGTTCCCAACCCGTTGCAGGGATCCCAAATGACTCAACCCATCGACTCAAACACACCAGTCGGCTGGTCTAATTAATGCTTCCACTTTCAAACGAATTCTTGTTGTTTAGCTGACGTTGCCCTAATCCTATAGAGTGACTATAGACAGACATCAATGATAGCATCTTGTGGAATCGGCGGCGTATACACTCATGCCCATCACCGACGCGCATGAGTGCAACTTGATATATCATTGTTTCATGATTTGGACAGTACACACTACAAGTTACAAGGCTTAAATAGTGAAGTGGCTAGGGAATAGATTCGTCTTTTTTCCCATCATAATGCCTCGCTCGCCTTGACAATTTTCGAGTCGCATGTTTAACTGGCTCTTTTGCTCGATTTTAAGGCTCTTTTTCAACGATTTCCGAACGTTTACTTAGACGAAAATATCAGCCAAATAGCTCTAGGAATGGCTACAGATGCAAGGAAATGACGGATAATTTTCTTGGGGGACCCCCCCCCCCCTCCAAAGCCCCCTCTCAGCGGCGTGGCCCGTCTGCGCGGTCAGTGCTCTCATTTTGCGGCGCCGCCCCCTTTTCAAAATTCCTAGATCCGCCCCTGGTTAGGCTGTAACGGTGATAAATTTAAACATTTTTGAAAATCGGATAAAAATTGTGACCTCTTAGAGGATCCACAAGCTAAAAACGTGATTTTTCATACAACCAGGGCCAACAAACTTGAGCAACTGGTTTGTTGGCTATTCAGCACTTTAAAAACAAGAGTGTTATTCAAAGGGGGTGTGCACAATCAGAACACTTAAAATTCCAGGAGTTTTCCACGGTAATTTACCACATTCCGGGAGTCCCTGTACAGAATTCTACATCATAATGTATTTTTTTATGCTTGGAGAACATTTACGGCCATGAACTTTTGAAGAAACATTTGATGATGTTCAGTTTTATATCTTAAAATATATAGTGAAACCACAAATGTTAATTTTCCAGGAGTTTCAAGGAGTAATCTTGTTTTTCTAGGATTTTCCAGTACTGGAAATCACATTTTCATTTTTCCAGGATTTATAAGTAGTTTTAAGGAGTGTGCGAACCTTGTCAAAGCAGTTTTAAAGAAACCCAACAGAATTAGTGCATTGAACAGAATACCCCATTAACAAAATAATAAAAACAAAGTATACAAGTGTAGTCTATTTAAAGATCCATTTATATACATATAAAGTTCAGTGCCAGTATTTCAAATTCCATAAAATATATTTTATTTGCAATTCTACACTCAATCTTTATTCTCTACATCCTTTTTGGATATGAATAAAATATCTATGTGATTGCTACAGTTTATCCCTGTATAAATAGTAGATATTTTTTCTGTTTGTAATTAACATTAAATACTCACAGAATAACAATATTCCACAAATGACAATACTTCTATAAGAAACACCACACTCAGGCCTAGAATGATAATTTTATTTGTACCTCAGTCCTGACACATAGTCAGTTGCTAATGAACTAGTGCCTCTAAATTTTTGGCTGTGCCTTACATGTATTAATAATATCAATAAACCACAGAAAGAAGACAAATCTATCCTGGTATCAGAGTCTGCAACAGTTACCTTGTTTCGAGCCTCGACCACAGCCCCATTGCTTGATTACATGTATATCACACACACATAATATTTATTATGATCAGTGGCATAAATAAGCTCATTTAAATCATTATTTATATATCACATGGATCAAATTGTTCACATCAATCAAACCAAGATAATTGAAAATATAACCGATCATAGGTAAATGGCACCCATACATTTGAATTAAAAGAGAAGCATAAGTATTGTCTTAACAAGGTTCAGAAACAATCTCAATCTGTAAACAGTTCAGTACTTTAATGTCACATTAATTATTAACAATCATTGAAATAAATATCAATTGTAAGTGCATTTTCTATTGATCTATTGAACATAAACATATTTTTTTATATCCTTTAAAAAAACAACAGTCGATAAATATTTTCAATATATGCTCTAACAAAACCAAGAAAAGCTTGAATTAATAAACTATGTTAATTTCTCGTGGTGTTCAAGTGGATAATTTTCTTTATACTGTTTAACATGGTTTTTCATCTCCTGTAGTTGATTCTCTAAATGTTTCGGTAAAACATCGTAAACATCTTCAAACATTTCATCAGGACTAGGTCGTTTCCTCGTTTCAGCATCAGCAAAAGATCTCATGACCATTTTACGAGATTCTAATTTCCATTCCTTTTCCATTTTTTCATCCCAGAAACCATTATTTATCATGTAATTTCGCAAACGTGATATGGGATTATCTTGTTTATCCCAATAGCTGACTTCATCCACCGATCTATAGGCTGAACTGTCATCCGAGGTACTATGGTGACCAATTCTGTATGTCATAGCTTCAATGAGTACAGGTCGATTTTGTGCTACTGCTATTTCACGAGCAGATTTGACAGCATTGTACACAGCAAATACATCATTTCCATCTACTCGAACTGTCATCATACCATAGCCTACACCACGAGATGCAATACCATCCCCTCTATACTGATCTTTAACAGGTGTAGATATAGCATAACCATTGTTCCTACAAAAGAATATAACTGGACAGTCTAATACTGCAGCAAAATTAAAAGCTGCATGGGCATCACCTTCGGATGCTGCACCTTCTCCAAAATAGCAGATCACACACAGTCCATTCTTAGCTCTCTTTAAAGCATAAGCTGCACCAGCTGCTTGTGGCATCTGTGTAGCTAAGGGTGAAGATATTGTTACAAAGTTCAACTTCTTTGTTCCATAATGAACAGGCATTTGTCTTCCTTTACCAATGTCATTAACATTGCCATAGCACTGATCCATGAATTGATCAAGTGTAAACCCTCTCCACATCAGAACTCCGGCTTCTCTGTACTGCCCAAATACCAAATCTCTGGGATCCAGAGCTGCAGCTGAGCCAATGTGTGTGCCCTCCTCTCCATAATTTGTCATATAAAATGAAATTCGTCCCTGTCGTTGAGATTCATACAATATTCTATCCATGGTATTCAACAGTGTCATATCTTTGTACATCTTGAGGACCGTTGAACTGTCTAATTTGGGATCTTCACTGTCCTCTATTATATTACCATTTCGTCCCAGAGCTCTGTATACAGGAATGCCCTTTATGTTGTCTGGTTCGATAAATTCTAATTTACTGACAAACTCTGATTTTGACCCTGGAAACTCCGGTCTATCGTCAAATTTTGAGGTGACATTTTCTGAACAAGTAACTGAATTGATTCTGTGGAAGTTGCGCTTACTAAGACACTGATAAATTCGAATGCCCGATGATCTGGGGCTAAAAGAAAAAGAAATTAAACGCTGAGCTTGGCGAATGGCGGACATATTTCTTCGTTTCCAGAATTAAGCATTATCTCCCTTCTAATAATCTTAGAAGGTCGTACTTGATTTTCGTATGAAGCCTACTCTAACGAGGTTTTATCAGATCTCATGCCGTGCGTTGTAATAATGTATTCGTGCTGATCCGATTCTGGCCACACCCCGTGTAGTGCGTATTTGGGTTTTCAAAGAAAATTGTTCCAATGCTTTCTTGTTTAACTATTTCTATGTTTTGTGAAACACATATCCAGTAAAGATTCTAAGAAATATTCCCATGAAGTGGTTGAAACAAGTTCACACAGTTGCGAACGTCTGGATAATCATACCCGGTAGCATTCTCCTCTTCCTTGGTTGTGAATGTCAACAGAACATTTTATTTTGGGTTAATAATTAATATTTTATCAGAAAGAACCCTTTTCCTGGAAGAAATTTCCGATTTCTTTTTTTTCTAACAGAAAAAAACATAGAGTAGTCTTTACCCTGGCTTGATTTATGCACGTGGTTAGTAACTAGCTACTACGCCGTCATTTTTGGCATTAATTTTGTTGTTATAATATTGATCCCGTATAAATAAAAGTCTTCCGTTTTTATTCTTTTTTCAGTAAAAATGTCATCAGAAATTAAAGAAGTGTTACCAAAACAAGGTGTATTATATCAAGAAGATATGCCTACTGTTGTTCTCTGTAAACCAAAACTCTTGCCACTAAAAAGTGTGACTTTAGAGAAAATGGAAAAGATGCAGAAAGATGCCCAAGATTTGGTTAAGAAACAAGAAATGGAGGAAAAAACAATAGGACACAGTAATTTACCATCGTTTTCTTAGCCATGTGAGCAGAGACTTTTGTGATGTTTCTTTATACTGTGATATTGTTGAAGAAAAATGAAATGTTTTAGAAGTTGTCAACTGCACTTAAGTCTTTGATGTTGTTTAAACTAATAAGTGCCATTTTTCTTTCAAACTGATCTACATTTAATGTGAACAAGATGCTTAACCCCATTACATTTCATTGTTCTCACATTAATATTGATTTAGTTTTCTACCATTTTAGTTGCACCAAACAAGAAATTATTGTTAACAGAAGGAAATTAACTTACAGTTTGCAGAAAGGTGTATTGAAATTAAAGGAGCTAAATCGCTAATATTTGGGACTAAGAAATTGACACAAATGGGTTGCAACGCAAATAATAATGTAATATTAATGAATATAAACTGATTTACATTCAATCGTTTCCGTTTTTACTCTTAATTTCAAATCAGAAGTCTCAATCGAACGACCAATCTCTAGCGTCTGGTTATTCTGGTCTACATAGTATTTTATTGTGCATGCTCTCCAAACAACAATATGATGTCACCGTTTGACATGACTTGTGGAATGTGTCTAGCCTCTTTCTTTGAGTCCCTTGTTAAAAATGGGCCTGAAACACATTATGGTACACAATTCGTGTACCAATGTTTAAATGTTTATTTTGTCTTAAATATTGGATGTCAGAAGCCCATCTCAGAGCACAACATCAATGTTGATTTAAATTGACAAATAATTTGTGTTTTCAATGTTAAAGACTTTGGATAATATTGAGTTAGAGACTTAGCTACTTTAATGTGACCTGCCATATATCTTCAATTTTATACACCTACATTGAAATGTGGTCGTATATTGTTGTCGCCCTTGTCGGTCATGAGACGAAGAAGCCTATTGATTTTTAACAATTTCAGATAATTACTGCCAGAGTTATGGCCCTTGGTCACCTTAAAAAATCTTGTGGGCACTCTAGAGGCTTATGTTATCATCCGATTGATACACAGAGTTTAAGGTCTTGAAACGAACAAGTATATTGATTTTCAATGAATTTTGATAACTTTAACAGCTAAATCCATGATATTAAATATTTCATACTAAACGTTAGCATGGGGCAGAAATTTATAAAAACCAAACAAATTCTAATGATTTTCTGATAATTACATATTTTCTGATAATAACATATTGAGTTGTTACTCTTAATCAGATTTAAGTGTATTATAAATGTTTCATTACCGAAAAAAGTAAAAATATGTGACAACTCTTGTTGACTGCCCGGACAATTTAGCTGCTGTGGGCATATATTTCATTGCCTGGCAACCAATCTTTCTAAATCGGGTAGCTTCTTGTAGGTTTTGGCAGTAAGACACTCTTTGCTAAATAATCACATCAACGACATTAATGATCATTATTGCGAAGTTTGAGTGGTGGTTGACAATACCAGTGATATACGAGGTAACTACTTCATAAGTTATTTTCTATTGCTGGAGAACAAAAGTTAAATGTGACTGGCAATAGGTCACATTTAAAGTGCATGTACCAGTATTAATTCCTTGCATGCATTAATTTCTTGTATGACCTTTCATATATCCTAAAATATTTCAGGATTCCTTGGATATGCATACACATTATATGTTGAATATCTATATACACCAGTCAAGAAACAATAATATACAAGTATTGATCAGTATGTGTCCAAGAATACACACAGTGGAATATCCTATACACTCTGCATCACCAATTCCCCTGGTATATTGGTTGGTTTGTGACCCAGTAAACACAGTTTAATCTCTCATATATACCGGTCAATAACCAAAATAGGAATATACAGGTAATAAGAGAGCATGAAATACACATCTTTCAATATCACCAAAATAGGCATACTGCAGTAATATATAATATTATGTAATGGGGACCATGATATATACATTGTTGAATATCTCATATACACCAGTAAATAACAAAAATACTTCAGGAATATATATGTCGGTCGGGTATGGCGGTATATTAGATTCAAAATTCTAAAATGCTTTCATCTAACTTCTAACTTCTGTTCATGTATTTTTTAACTTCTATTCATGTAATTTCTAACTTCTATTCATGTAACTTTAAAAGGGACAATAACACTCTTGCTGGCTTGAAAGCTCCAGAAAATAAATAATATCTCTATCTAAGTACTAGATGTTTAAGTGTCCTACCTGTTGTGTAAATTATCCATTACATCCTATTTTACTTGTCCAGAGGGTTCGAAAATATTTTTAAATCGAAGTTTCATTTGAAAAGGTTTACGTTAGACGTTTCAAACCATTATGTTGAATTTTTCAAATTTTTTAAATAAGGTGTGTTAAGATGAAATTTGTATCATCAATTAATTGAAATATTCTAAAATAGTACAAATTGTTGACCAGAATAAAGATTGGGACATATTATTCAGTTACAACAAGAGTGGTATTGAGCCTTTAAATTAAGACAATGTATAATCCAACTTCTTTATTTGTTCAGTGTAAATTTTAATTCTATTTCATCTTATTTCTATTATTTAGACGAAAAACGTCTTCTTCATTGATGCTTTACACGTTTAGCGTGTTCATTTGGTGATTGCGCACCTGGTCGGGACCATTATGTTGATATAAACGACTCGTCCTTCGTCGGGTTGAAGGTTGGACAGAGTGCAGAAATTTTCTGAGAGAGAAAGAGAGAGACGGGCTTGATAAAGACGAGTGTATCCTCGTCGAAACTTCGCTTAATATTAAACTCAGTAATGTGAATCCATAAAGTTGTACCCTGTGTTAATATAGACCGTACAGTATATATAAATATTAATTGACTCAATATTGTAAAAAAAAAATCAAATAAAATTGTCCAAATCCTGCACTTGCTTTAAATAAAAATTAGCAAATGCTGTTTAGCTTATTTTGAAATAGTATTTGTAAACCATATCACGTTCGATGTTGTTTGGGGGGAGGGGGGGCGAATGGTTAGCACGTGCGCGCTGTATCATAAGGTCTGTTATCAAGTCAACTGGTGTGGTTTCGAATTATTGAAATAAAATTGAGCCACATATGTTAGTCCCGAAATGACTTAGCTTGTGTCGCGTGGACGTTGAACACCGGCCATCTCTCTCTCTCTCTCTCTCGATGTATGGGAATCACGTGACTAAGTGGGTAAGAAGCTGGCTCGCTAGCCTGGAGGTCGGGTTATGGATCCCTGCATTGGCAGAGAAAGTTCATCCAGATTTTCCGGCGTGGTTCCCCCTTGTCAGTGATGCAGGACGGGGGGGCCTGACAAGGACAGCTGTCTAGTTCTTCGGATGAGACGAAAAACCGAGGTCCCATGTATACATTGGAATGCACGTAAAAGATCCCTTGGCAGTTGGAATTCGATATAAGATAGGCGATAGTGCCGCTGCCCGGGAAAAATTTCCCTCATAGTACACTGTATGGCGTATGCCCGTTTTCATTAGCCCAGCATAGGAGCAGAACAGTAGGACGTTAAACCCCATTTCATTTCTCTCGATGTATTCAATTTTAACACTCCGCCAAACCATTCAACCTGACGAAGAGCGAGTCGTTTGTATCAACAGAATGGTCCCGATCAGGTGTTCAATCGCCAAATTGAGCACACGGTGGCGACACCAAACGACGTCATAATGACGGTTGCTAGGTAGAACTATCAAAATTCTAACATGTAAAGCGACAATGAAGTAGACATGTTTCGTCTTAATAATAGAAATAAGATGAAACAGAATTAAAATTTACATTGAACAAATAAAAAGTTGGATTATACATTGTCTTAATTTAGAAATTACATTAATGGAAGTTAGAAATTACATGAATGGAAGTTAGAAATTACATGAATGGAAGTTAGAAATTAGCCTACATGAATGGAAGTAAGAAATTAGACGATAGCATGTTAGAATTTTGAATCTAATATACCGCCATAGTCGGGAGCATCAAAAATTCATACCTGATGTCAGATGCCACACTGATATCACAGAGATATGGTAACATAAAAATAAAGAACAAGTTAGAGATAAGCAAGCTGTTAATCTTATTCTACTGTCATTTAAACATGTATGCAAGAGCTAAATCTGATTATTGCACGTCTTTATTTAGGTTTCAGATGTCAGAAATTATAAATTAGATCTTTATTTACACAACAAGCACAAAATCAACTCTGTAGACCCACGGATGGCTTGGATTTAAACGGGATTTCGTTGACTGATTTAATTTTAAATGGCGTCGTGAGCAG